TTTTTTGTTTTAGAAATCCATTTTAAAACATTAACCAGAGGAAAAAAGTAAAAAATTTTCACATTTTCATACGTTTTAAAAGAAAAAAACACTTATGTATACCCTACTTTTCCTTGAAATTTTAGGCCCAAGGATTCTTCGAAAAATTTGCTTAGAATTCCACGTAGAATACTTCTATGCCATTCCCGCATAGTATAAAAAATTGACCCACCCTAATATGTATACTTTCATACTTTTTTCAAACTTCGCTAAACAAACAAATAATGCTCTAAGTAAATTCCTATTTAAATACTTTTTTTTTAAATATATTTCTATTATGACAGATATTCGTAGTTTTAGATAATGCTAAGGAGAGTTAAAAAAAAACAGTTGAACACCAACATTTTACAAAAATTTATGTACAGATGTGGTTAACTTCGATTTGAAATGTTCATTTTCTAATTTTATGTATTAACAGATGGGGTTACCAATTTTGATTTAGTAAACATTTTCTAAGTAGTTTATTTAATTGATTTATATATTTTTTTCAATACAAATATGAAGGCATTATGTGTAAAATAGAGTCTTTGCTTTGGATTTTGATGGAGTTTTTGTTTTTAGTTATTTTTGTTATTTTAATTGGGAGTAGCTAAATTTAGTGTAGCTCTCGATTTATTAGAAAAACATCTTTTTTAGTCTTTGGGAAAGACTACTCTTTCTTTAACCCTTTACTAACTCGATATACGACTTTAACTGTCATGTATAACGTGCCCTAGAAAAATTTATGTACAGAAATATGTAGATACATATGCGCGGGTATACACCCCGTGTCGTAATTATAAGCGCTCCACATGTTGACAAGTTGGAACATTTTTTTGCTGTGTTGCTCATTTTCTTCTACATTAAAAAATCGTCGAACGTATGTACACTGGTGACAGAAATAATAGAAACGCCTTAGTTTGAATAGTTTTGACCACATTAACTAAATCATTACACAATAAAATGCATATAAATGCGCATTTAAAACTTTGCACAGAAATTCAACAAATTTTCGCCACGTTTCAAGCTTATCATTCAGAATTTTTAGAAAAACTTTAGGTATACCTTTTGAGAGTTCATTAGTAGCATGAAGTTTCAAGTGGCTACAAAATATCGCTGAGTTTAGATATTTTTTTTGGAAACCCTGATTTTCTTATGGAATAAAAAATAATTATGCCACTTTCAAAATAACCGACCCAGCTACTTCTAGAATTTTGTAAAAAAAAGTAAACACTGAAAAACAAAAGAAATGTAGGGAGCCGAATTAAACGGCTCGATATTTTTACGAAGGTTGGCTAATTTTTTTTAATGTTGCGCAAAGATTAAAACTTGAATTTATGCGATATTTGTTAAGGAATGAACTATATTTTTGTAAATAAAATAACCAAAATTAAATAAAAAAATGGTTTAAACTTGCCAATATGTGGTGCTCTTATAATTATGACACGGGGTGTATACATACATACATACATATGTATGTACGCATGTATGTACGTTACAGCCCTACCTTAATATATTTACACACTCTAGAACCTTTGAACTTGTTGAATTGAGTAAAAGTTTAAAGAGCTTCACAAACATAATTTTACATACATACATACATCTAAATATATGTATGTATGTACATAAATAGATATATACGCACGTATAAAGTATTGTATTAAATATTGATTAAATTCTTTTGCCGCTCTATTTTTAACCATTTGCCAAAAAACATTCTTAAATTAACTACATATCATCCCTCATTCTGTTTCGCGCTTGTAGGTGATATAGCTTTCCTTATTTTACCATTGTTGTGCCTGTTGTTGTTGTTGAGTAGACGCGCCGCCTACACCCGCGCTGCCATACAGGAAACTCGATTGTCTTATCACAGATACCGTTGCTGCCGCTACGCCAGCTTGTGGCGGTGGGGCAGGTGCTCGATGCTTTTTTACACCCAGCGGAAAGATGGGTTGTATCGGCTTGCGGGTTGAAGGTGCTGCTGTATCTGCTGGTGTTGTTGTTGTTGTCACTGATGATGCTACTGGTGGCGGTACTGCGGTGTTATTGCTTTGGCCATCAACATTGTTGTTATTGTTGTTGTTATTATTGCCTGGAAGTGGCGCTAGATTATATGGCAGAGAAATATTCGGAAGAATGTGAATTTTATACAATGAATTGAGTTATGGAGTCATGAATATAATGAGCGATAGTTCGATGCAGAGAAATCATTTTACTGATCTACGTAGGTACACATGTGTAGAGAGTACTAGGTGCACTAAAGGGATGAATAGAAATGAAATAAAATTATTTTTCTTATAAAAACTAATTCATGAAATATTGGAAAACTTACAAAAATGTATGTAAAGAAAATGTGAAAAAAAAATTTAATTGTAATATTTCTACACTTATGTCCTTATCACTATCCAAGCGCCACGGCTCAGATGGACAATACCCGTTGGTATGTACTATGTATATATATATGACTACCATAGTCAAGTGGTTGAAGCACGAGAAGCCATTAGTCTGCAGCCCCACGTGTTATGCACCTATAGCTTGGTCTGCTCATCTGCGGACCGGTACGCAAATAGACCTTCTGAAATTGGAACAAGAGGCGCTTTGACCACCGCAAGCCTCTCGAGTCCGGCACCTACCAAAATTTCAGATCATTGGTTATCAAATTAACATCAGTGCTATTTGCAATTTCTCGTCAACACCTCTGAGAAATGAAGCTCTGACAAAACAGGACACGGTTCACGGCAAATCGACTCGAAATTTCCTTTTGAGATTACGGCATTCGATAGCGAGTTCGCTTTTACAATTTAAATTGTATTGGAGAGATAATAGCTGTCGTTTTATTTCATTCGATCCGAATCGAGTTTCATCGATCATGGATGTCGTGATTCGAGCTCGGGCCACAAACTGGCAGCCTACCGAGGAGCTTCAGCCTAAGATAAATAGCTAAGCTCTTTCTGTGCCTATAGACTAAATTGTGCTAAAAAAACATTAATCCTAACAACTATAATTGAAACACATTTTTATCGATTAAACTATCGATATACCAAGGTATTTATCACAAATTATTAAACGATATTAGGTTTATTTAAAGGTGTTATCGAAATCAGTATGGATTTATTTAACGATATTTTTATCGATACACACAATTATCGAGAACATTATCTATATTGACATTAAATATCAATAGTCATAATAATACATATAGTTATCGAACGCATAATGGTCTACTTTTTAAAGAAATTTATTTTGAGATGCGTTATTCTGGACCGAAACATTGCTAGCGATGCCAGAAGCTACATTTAGAAAAAATAAGCATTCGAGTGCTAAGAGGTGTATGCGTCACCCCGGTAGGACCTAGATCCGACAACACCATTGATATATGTCTGGAGAGGAATGACAATGCAAAGTTCTTTATTTCTTCTTGCCCGGTAATTTCCAGACTGAGAAGCTGAATATTTTTGCGGTCAGTAGTATTAATGAATTAGGTAATTTTTTTATGCCCCAACATTTCTTTCAGGCTCACTAAGGAATCGAGATACATATTTCTTAGAGGCGTTAATTAACTAATGTACTACCATCTCCTGTTTTCCTCAAGTCCAATCGGATTCTATGCCAGAGTAGCTGCTGGTAGCTTTGACTTCGTCCTTTTTTTCCCAAAAGGTTTAGCCAAATGCTGCTGAAATGTCAGTTCCTAGCGCCCTTTTCATTGAGTTTAACGCACCTTGTGGAGCTTCTAATAAAAAATCATCTCGAAACACGCCTCATAATTACTCGTAAATTTAACAGCTACTAAAACCCATAACTTAAAAAAGTACTAACCTCCAGTCCAGGAAGTAATAAGAGAAAATTATTCGCATTTGTGGTTATGTTTACAAATTTGTTCCACCCCAGCCAATGCAATTCTCAATAATATAAAGTAAAATTACTTATATGCAAGTCCATTTCATATGTACAGTAAATATGTGTAGTAAAAATGAAAAATACAAATGAATAGTACTTATAGTAAGTAAAATTAATTGATAATTTTTATTCACAAAATTTCATTTATACATTGTGTTGCTTATTAAACAAACCAAAGAAAAAAAGAATAACTAGAATAAAGATAAGATTAGATATACATACATACATAAGTTTTAATTTAAATGATAAAAGAAGTAAATAACTTATATAAAAATTTTTTACATAACATAAATTTACATACAAAGTTGCATGCTAAAAAAAAATTTGGTAAATATTGCATACATATGTATTAGAATAACTACTTTGTTTGTATGTTTGCATGTATTTATGTATGTATGTTCTATATAGTAGTAGGTAGCTAGAGAATTGGCTTGTACAAAGTGTAAAAGAAAAGTTGTACGAGCATTTATGTACTATGCATGTATGCATGTGTGTGTTTGGCTTGCATGAGGATGTTTGGTGTAAGTATAAAAACTATTTTGTAATATATGATTATACATATTTTTTTAATTTTATTTTTCACACAGCGAAGAAGAATTTTAGAGTTGTGGCTTAATTTAAATTATATTTAGTGTGTGTAAAATGACAAAAAGTGATAATTGACTACTTTTTCAGTTTAATTAAGCTTACATTTTATTTCTTTTCTTTTTTCGCATATTTCCTTTGTTATTTTTTATTAATTTCTTTTTCTTTACATGCTATTTCATTAGAAAAAATAGCAAAATTGAATATAAAAACAAGTGTTACTAAGTTAAATTAATGTAAAATTATAAAGCTATATAATTTTTTCACTTTATTTAATAAAATTTGTTTAGAAGAGAGATTGTCGAGTGTGTGCCAAAGAATTTGGGTACAATTTTGGGTAGAAATTTAGCACAGTTGAAGCGAGCATAAGAAAAGTATCGCGAAAGTAGCTTTTTAAATAGGAAAGCTAAGAGTTTTACTAGAAAATTAGAGTAGCATTATTTCACTACGCGAATGTTGCATGCTTTTAGGCACGCTAGTTTTTTGTGTGGAGCGAATGATTTTGTTTAAAGGCAGTTTGCTGCAAAGTTTTTAGTTCAAAAAACACCTTAAACGAATGCAAACAGAGTGCAAATAAAAGTTTTCTATATATGTGTAAAAAATTAAATATTATTTGTAGCTGCATGCAAACAACGTTAGCGTTGTTGATTTCTACATCCAAATTACAGAGTTTATGTACTTAGTTTCGTTAAATAAAAACCTCTCGTATTTATCGCTTCTTTGTGGCATATTTCACGGCGCTTACGCCTTTTTATTTTTATTCATTTTTTATATACATAATTTTTGGCTCACACTCACAAAAGCTTCTTCTACCCGACAACGTTTTTTTAGTAAGAATTTGTTACTATAAATTACATATTTCAATAAATTTAGTAATCACTCCATTTCTTAAATTTCCTAATTCACTGACTATTTGCAATTCAAAAAGGCTATAGACTTCATATAAAAAAAAATACACAATACAATTCAAATACTATGCTGTACTAACTAAGCAAATTGAAAGTATTACAACTGACTTGCGCTCTCTTTTTTATTTTTTTGCGCTTGTTTGAGGCGTTGCATTGAAAAATGTTTTAAGCGTAAAATTCTGATTAGCACTCGAGTCAACAGCTGTAGATTTTAATGTGGATAATACTAAAATTTCGTTTTCATACATTTTGGGCTCCATAAGCAGTGCCTGAAATTATGCAGCAATTAAATTACTGAAATTTTCAATCATTGCGAAAATTTGACTCGTCTTCACTGCGGATTTTTATAAAAAATACGCCTAAAAATATATACCATTTAACTATAAGCAAAATGTATTACAAGTTCATACATTTTATTATGGTTATGTGGTATGTATTCTTACGGGTTTTTTTTTTATTAAAATCCGCCTACATAAAGGTCCTTAAACCTCGATTTTTACTTTTTGTTTAACCCATTGCAGACCAAGGTATCTCGACTAGGCAAAGAATTACTCTACTCATAAGAAAATTGTGTGTATTTTTAGGCGTTTTGTAATGATTTAGCTGTTTTCTTATTAATTTTTGGTGGACAAAAAAAATATTTTTGTAAAACAAAATTTTATGTTTTTACAAAAAAAAACGTATTTTTATGACCTTGAATACGTTAAGTGCACTATATACCAAAGTGAAAAAACTGGCTTCAATCTTAATTTCAAATGGCGCTTGACGCTACTAAAAGCACATCAATGTATTTGTCCGAAAAATACGCTCATAACATTTTTCAAAGTTTTGCCTCATTTACTATTTTTAAGTGTATTTTCAAAACTAGTGGCAATACCAATACAATTTTACTTTCGTTTATTTTCTTTTTTTTCTTTATATTTTCATTCAAAAATCTACTACATTCTATTGAACAAATTTACAGCTATAATTCTCAATTTACCTACGCCAAAAATGTTTATAATTCTGCAAGTAAAAATCAGGTTGTAATAACGGCACCAAAAAAACAGCGGCCGACATATGGCACTCCTCGTACTCGAATAAAATTGTGTACAAAATTTCAATATCATAATTAAAGTTGAACAATTTATAGCATGTTGATAACATTCATTTCTATTATTCCAATTAGTTACAGTTCAGTGCAACTGTGAGGAGTACCATGCTTCGCCGTCAATATTGGCATTTTACCATAACCTACCAACCAATTCAAATGCATAATTTTTAAAATACTTGTATATATTTCATTTCAATAAAAAGTAGTTAAGTGTAAATTAGTTGTTAAAATCATACAAAATGCTTTTTTTTTGTTTTACATACAAAGTTGAACTTTGAAAAAATAATTATGTATTAGAAATAAAGAAAATAATTAATCTTTAACCGCATTCCATACACAGCATTCGCATACGCATTCCATAAGTAACTTAAATTGTATATTATATTGTAAAAACAAAAACAAAAAAACAATCTGTTCGGAGTTTAAGTGCTGTGTGGGTGAGGAAAGGACACTGCTGGAGATGGACACACAATTGTACGCTCTACATTACTACGACGTATGCATTCACAATATTGCAATTTACTTTTGTACGCTTTTGCGCTTATTTTACAACAATTTTACAATTAATTTCATGGTCAACGCTTTGACCTGGCCTGCTGACTGGCTGCTTGCTTGCCTAGCCGTTGCCTGTGCCACAGTCAACCAGTCAGCTGGACCATTTGTTTTGCATTAATTTGCATTTACGATTGCTCTCTTTCTCAGCTATTCTTCTTCATCTTCTTCTTTTTCGCCAACTTATTTATTTACATACCATTCGCTTTGGCCGCTCGGCTCGAATACACTTTTGGGATATTTAGGAATGGTGGCGGTTTCGGGAATTCGGTAACATTATGAAAGCGTTTGCCAAATCTCGATTCCAAATCGGTAACCAAACGGCTGACTGAATTAGCGTGCGCCAAATTGCCTGCATTGTTGCCGAACATGGGCATGTTATTGTTGCTTGCCGTTGGCGGTGTTACAGGTGCGTTGGCGCGTATAGAGGAGTGTCGTTGTGGCGGCACTGGAGGCGCACTATTGCCAGTCTGCTGTGGATTAGAAATGGGAAGAAAAAGGAGACACAATTAATGAATGATAAATTTAGTATGCAAAATGAAAAGAAAAGTAAAGAAGAAGAAATAAGTAAAAATGAAATGATGTATTTTGGAACAGAAACAACAATAACCAAAAAGGAAATAAAAATAAATGTTTTAAGTAAAAAAAATATGCCCCAAAATGCATTCATCAAGGGGTATGTGCTACAACTATGTATGATGCTGGCCGTCAACATTTTTGTGTTTGTAATCGAATGCGTTAACCTTGAAAGTTGTAGGTAACATTAAATGAGCAAATAAAAGTAAATAAAACACTGCCAAAAAAGTGGCAATTGAATAATGGAATTGCATAATTACAATACGTTTGTAGTTAAGCAGCATTCGCGTAACAGCAAACCCAGATTTGATGAAAATCTTTTACAGCTCACTACAGGGACTAGAATAGAATATGTAGATGGCAAGCACGCTTGCAATTTGCTTTATGGTGAAAATTTCTTCTTATCTCCAGAATACTTCACAGACATTAATGATTTTTGTGATCCATAGTCCATATGCATGTAGTTATTCAAGATGTAAAATTGCTACTCAAAAAGTCCTTAAAATTTGTTTCCAAAGCGTATTTTTTCACTTTTTCAGCTACTGCGCCTAAAATTTTACTATTGTTTTGTGCGTTTGCAATCTACCTCAATGCAAGTGTATTTCACGCTGCTGCTGCTAATTTTGTTTTGCTATGTACGTTGTGAGTTTGCACACATACGCTCATCCAGGGCGGAAAAATACACCTGACGAAGATACAAGTTCCGTTGGCGCCAGAGAGCGCCACAGAGAGAGAGAGCGCAGATGCGCATGCGTCTTTATGAAGGATAAGAACAACCAGTGTTGCCAGGTCTTATGCATGAGAAAACGTCCCTCTTGGTGTGAACAAACGTCATTTCTACCCAAAAACGTCTTATTCAAATGAACGCTCAAAAAATTGTTCTTATTAAACTTTTATTATATACAAAGGTACATATGTACGTAAGGTATATTAAAATGTCATTTTGACAGAGCACATTTAAAATTCATTGTAAACTGGTTTGAGATCGTTAATATAAAAATCATTTTATACATCCACTTGTGATCAGCTGATTAAGTCATCACCATTTTGATCGATTTTGGCTATTTCTCTTTTGTTTATTATTTTTCCATAAAAGCCAAGCTCCACATTTCAAACTTTGTGCAAAACTTATAAAAAATCTGCAAAGCTTCAGCTAGATTTTCAACTTTTTATTTAGATTTTTTTGAGTGTGCAGTTTGATAGCCCATTAAATTTCAGGTCAATAAAGTGCATTTTTAAAGAAGCTAAATAATCGCGTTGATTTTTAATATATATTTTTTTTTATTGTAGACATTTGGTAAGGGGGTGGTTGTCGAAAATGCTAAATTACGTTCTGCTAAGAAGGAGCATAGCAATATTTCAGCCTTTTTTGCGTTCACTACATTTTCAATGAAGTCTTAAAAAAGTCGCCTACTTTTTTCTGACTTCTTGATGCTTTTGCGAGCGTGCGTGTTGCAAGAGATCAGCTCTTCCTGATTTGGCTTTTAATGTGCAATTGCAAACATTACAATAAGCCTCGAAACCTCAACTGTTTACACAACCAGCCTTTGAACACGGGATCCTTAGTCCAAGAATCCAAAAAAAAATGCGCGTACGCTTGGTATGCATCATATTTAAGTCATCTGCGTCTAAAGAATAAATATCCTTTGAAGCAGCTGCTGCAAAACACAGAGCTTGTAAAGATTTATTAAGAAAATAATTCAAAATCAGTTCTACCCAGTAGAAATCTTATGCATACAACATCGCTGTTGGTGGCATGAGCTTGCTGCTGTGTATACATGCTAGTATAAATGAACGTTCATTTCCATTTAACACGGGTGCGTGTGCGTACCTTAATCATACACTTGTACTACTGCTGTATGCATATGGTTGTATTAATGTTTCAAACATACAAAAATGGATTAATGGAACAGTATTAAAGCATTCTTACAAGATATGTATCCCCATATGTAAATTCTACTTCTCTGATACATTTTAATATACGGGGACATACAAAAAAGTAGCACTTACATATGCAAATGCATATCTTGTAAAAGCCCGTTTGTGCTGAAAATAGTATCGCACAACACGTTCGTTCACTAAAATTTTTGTACAAGACTGAAAATATTACAAAAATTCCAATTCAAATTTATCAAGAAATGTACTTAAAACAACGACAACGTACATTCGCTTGCAATTCGCTGGAATTTGAATTTATTCGTTGAAATTAATGACTACGAATGAATTGTTCACAATAATTCACTCATATAGCAAGCATTCTTCGTGAATGCATACCACCGATTTCTACTGGGTACTTACAAGATTTAGTAACAGAGAAAAATTACTGGGAAGTTAAAAAACGTCATTTTTTACACAAAAAACATCCAAACGTCAACAGGATACAAAAAACGTCCAAATGACGTTAAAAACGTCAACCTGGCAACGCTAAGAACAACCCACGCCAATATGTTGCATGAAAAACTGACAGCTACACATACACGTACACACCTTTACTGCACTCTTTATTCGTTTTCATTCAATCTAGGCTGGGGGTGCGTGTAAGTCTGTTAAATAAGCGTAGCACAACAAATTGATAATTGGCCTATATTCTTAGTAGTAGTAACATGGAGGTAGTTTCAGAAAGCGAGAATGACAGAGGGAGAAGATTTTAAAGACGTCTGCGACAGTTTTGTCACTTTTTACCTCAATATTTTTAAGATGTAATATTTGGATTATGTATATTTGAAATTGCTAGCAACAAAATCCAACAATTTTTTCGAAGAATACTTTAACTTGGGATATGCGATCAATCAATTAAATGAACAAGCTGATTAATCGAAACCTGATTAGTTAATTAATCAAAGAATTAATAATTTTTATTAATCAAAGAGATTAATTTCTTGATCAATTATATTTTAATTAATCAGAATCTGATTAACTTTGTTGATCAGAAAACTGATTAATCGGAAACCTGAATATTGCTGCTATATATTTTTTTGTCAATAGAAAAAAAATTTATAGATACATACATGTGTATGTAATACTATGTATACATATCTGTGTTCGTATGGAATAGTAGCATATGTTTGAAGCTGGCTTTAGAATAAGTCGGCATTCCTTTTATCGTTTAAATCTGTGTTCGTATGGAAAAGTAGCTTATGTCGAAAGGCTGGCTTTAGTATAAATCGGCATTCGCAGCATACGATTGCGAATGACTCACTGGCGGTGAGCCGTTGAGAACTTTTGGCAAATAAACGTGCAAGAAAGAGCTGCGATACTAGCAAGTCAATATTCTTATTAAGTCTCATCAAAAAATTCTTTGTCGTTTAAAGAATAAAGGGAATGCCGCATTATACTAAAGCCAGCCTTTCGAGATAAGCTACTTTTCCATACGAACACAGAAATGACAAGGAATTTTTTGATGAGACTTAAAAGAATATTAACTTGCTAGTATCGAAACTATTTCTTGCACGTTTATTTGCCAAAAGTTCTTCAACGACTCGGCGCCAGTGAGTCATTCGCAAGCGTATGCTGCGAATGCCGCATTATACTAAAGCCAGCCTTTCGACATGAGCTTCTATTCCATATGAACACAGATATCGTAACATAAAAGTATAGTTTTGAGAAAAACGAATTGGAAGTTTTTATAAACCATTACAAACCCTACAAACACAATTTCGTTTTTCGCGAATAAATCAGTGAGCCGAAGAGATATTTAAGAAAACTTAAGTTTTTTCTAATAGATTAAAGGATTGTCTATCCAATGGTGCAATTATCGAATAATAGTGTATGTGGCATTTACACTGTTTCTTTATTCGAGCGACGATATGTATGTATTTTTGCATTTCAAGGAGCAACATAATAACGTGATCGACTGACATTATGTTTCTGTTAATAAGAAAAAAACTTTAGTTTGCTTTGAAAGCAAACGCGAAAGAAATTAACTGTACTTAGATTTCAATATTTTTTTTTTACCTCTGCCTTAAAATTCAATTGTCAAACATTATCTGCAGTGGGATTCCTGGAATCGTTATTCATTTACGGCCCTATTAGGTATGGCGACAGATAGCCAGTCTAGTACCGCAATTTCCTGTTTCCCGCTTATGACGATTTAGTTATTTGTTTACATAAATTGTTAAACACATTGGCCAATTACTTCGAAATGGATGATGATGTTGTCTGCGCTTTCTGCATACTGAGATTAATCGGTATACAAATACAAAGTACGATACTGGTAGAGGAGGTAAACGAGGTTTCATCTACAAAACCAACAGTCTTCCAAATTGCAAACATATGCATGTAGGTACCTTGAAGGAAAACTAGTAGGAGCTAGAATACTACCATTACTCTTCAGCTAGTCCGTCTTTTATCTTGCAAAATACTAAAATTTGAGTCAGGTTCCGGTCGCATTGCAAAATTTTTTTTGACTTGGCCTCTATACATAGTCCATATTTCGACGAATATAACGTAAGTGAATTTTTTTCCAAATTTCCTTTTCTACCTAGATGCCCTAAAAGCATTTCTGAATCTAAAAGAAACTTTTGAAAAAAATGTCACTTATGTATTTTCGCGGTTGGGCTGGATATTTGTAGAGTACAAGAGATATGGAGGGTTTGGTTACTAACTCCTTATATAGGATCTATTGGATTCCTTTGGTTTAAGGTTTTCATATTCATTTGAATCCTACTAACGACGACGACTTCTCTCCTCTTTGAACGTTAAATGTTCCTCAAATGCTTTTAGATTTACCTAATAAGTACCGTCAGCAACAAAATCATCACTATTAAGTACCTACCTACGAGAGCGAATGTATAAAAACAGCAATGACAGCCACCCTTCAGCAAGAGCCAAAGAGTATGTAGATATGATGAGAATGTAGTGAGAACGGACCACCAAAAAAAAAAATCTGAGCTACTGACACAAAACTATTCGCTTTGTGTATTTCAAACTGTTACAGTATACTGGCATTTACACGCTCGTTATTACTTCTATTTTGATCTGAGTTGCTTTTTTGTTGGATTCTTTCGTGTGCCCAGAGGACACGTGTTCATTCATAAACACACCCAACTGCAAGCTAACGGCATTGCATTAGCACAAGCCATTGCATACGTGCACATTAGACCGTATCAAGAAATAAGTAATTTTTAAACAAAACCGACTTCAATTCGCATATAAAAATTTAAGATTATCGTTAATTTCTTCATGATCCAATGATCGGATTTAAACCAAATTAGTATTGGGCCACCTGTGAGGTAAAAAGAATTAAAGAAATCGGTTAACGTGGTCCAAAGTTATGCGGTAACATACATTTAAAAAATATATTCCGACGAATTGATAACCTTCTCCTTTTTGTGAAATCGGTTAAAAAAGTTAGCCGTACACCGCTGAGTCCACCGGATTTTGGCAAGGAATTTTCGTACTTTTTTTTTGTGGCCTTTCCCATTTTCCGCCTTTTCTTCGGTCGGATATTAAAGTACGATCGAGGGTTATTTGAAAAGTTATTGGCTTTTTGAATTTCTCGAGCATTAACGTTATATGTAAAATTACTCCCGTCAATTGCCATCGGACAACTCATCGTCTGCGGCACTCGCCGTCGCCAACGCGCAGTCACCACAGAAAAAATCCATCGACTGGGCTACGAACTCCTACCCTATCCACCATATTCATCAGATTTAACCCCCAGCGACTATTTCTTTTTTCCGAACCCAAAGAAAAAGCTGGACGGTAAGAGATTTCGGTCGGAGGACCTTGAAAAACCTATTATTTGAAAGGAATTAAAAGATTGGAAAAACACTGGCCTTAGGCGTAATATCTTCGTCACTTACAGTTGGATCTTAAAATATAAGTATAATGCATCCATGTTTTTGTCTTTAGAAAAAAATTTTCAATCCAGTTCTTTGAACTCAAATACCCCGTTCTAGCACTTGCCTACCAGATCTCAGTTCTTATCACCCTAATGTAACCCGCTCTAATATCAGTAAAATAAAGCTAGGCTGATCCAGGTTGTTGTTGTTGTTGGTGTAGTGACCACTCAACCCCGCCCAGATCGGCTTGTCTCTCAATCGTTGTCGTTCATAGGGACAGATGCGTTAGCTGAGTGGTAATACTTACCTCTAACCACTCAACTACAGCGGTCATCCATGACTACGTACTTATACCACATAACGTCACTAAACATAAATAATGGCGCACCATTGTTTTAACGGCGAAAAAGAGCGTATTGACGAAAAAAGACGCGTAAACCCAGTTGACGGCGAAGACGCGTAATCATAGGTGAATACCTAGCCAAGGACTGTCACTTCAGCTTTATTCTCCAAAAACTTTTTGGGGAATGTATTTACTATTACACCCGCAAACATAGTTCACCGCGAAAATAAGTTAACGCGTCTTTCTTCGCCATCGACTAGGTTCGGGCGCCTTTCTTCGCTGAAGTTTTTTTATGCGTCTTTTTGTGCGGTTAACTTTGGAGCTCGCGAATTTATTCGTTCCAACTGACGATAAATAGGCCTAACCATGCATTGAGTGTACTAAACTGAAAGGCGTACTTACATTACTTGTTTGTCGTTGCGGTGGTGGTGGTGCTGGACAAGTCCGATGCGGTGGCAGTGGTGGCGCATTCAATATTCCACCATTCAATATGATCGGTTTTATCGACTTATCGCGATTCAATGACTGCCTGCTGGCGGCAGGGCTGCCCGGACTGCTTTGACCAACACCTGGTTGCGCGCCACTAACAATCGCAGTTGACTTCGCATTGGCCGTGGCGGCTGAGGGTGGCGGTGGTGGTGGTGGTGTCGCATTTGTAGCGCTACGGAATTGATCACGCAACGCTGACACACTACTGGAGGAAGACGAATTGGAAGGTGGCTGTGTGGTGGTTGGCGATGAGTAATTGCTGGTTACGGAAGAGATAAGTGTTGTGTTCACAGCGCTATAAGGAGTTGACGAGCTGCCAGCAGCAGCTGAAGTAGCTACATTTTGTCCCACCATACTATTTAGATTAGTATTGGAGACGCTGCGCGCTGGTGTTGGTGGTGGCGGTGGTTTCACTGATGGCGGTTTGGGTGGTGCCACTGTAGGACGACCTGGAAGTAACGAAAAGAAAATTATGTTTATTAAAGCATATGTGCATTAAATGGTGCATACCAATTGGTGGATTTGGTGCCATTCGCATACCGCTGCTATTAATCGCTTCTTGTGACTGGTACAGCTGAGCGAGTGGGGCGCGCATTGTGCCAAAGTGTTGTTGAGTGGGAAAAACAGGCGCACCTGGCGCTGTAATTGGTGGTGATCTGTGGAACAGAGTTCAAAATGTGATTTATTAAATAATTGCATTAAAAAACACAAAACATATTTTCAGTCAAAGGCTTGAAAAATCACGGCTCTTTAAAGGTGAACTATTTAATAATTACAACTGTAAAAAAACAGACATGGTCGTAGTGTTTGCGCGAATTGGGATCTGACACTATGATCTCGTTGGGAAATGAAAACAGCTTTGGCGATTTGCTATCACAGAGCCAGATGTAGAATTTCTGTATCGGTGTACCTACAACTAACGCTATTTGTGTGAAGTGTCGACGAATGTGATCATGATTCGCGTTAAAATAATAATAACAAAAACTAGAATATATATAAAAAAATTTATATAAACACAATTAAAAAGTACAAAAAAAAAATTATTGTATGAGGTTTAACATAGTAATTCAATTCTACACGTTCGAAAAATTCTTAAACAAATATTATCTCTATAAAATCTAATGTTATTGTAGTTCCAATTCGACCTAACCTAGCATTTACATTCTGTATTTTACACAGCAACATATTAAGGTCTTTACTAACTGCCGACACATGCAATCCTACATTTTTCGAAATATACAGGCATGTTCTGCAAATCGTACGATTTCAAGTCGGTGCGATTTACAAAATCTATTTCGAAGGATTTATAACAAAGGGAAAAATTTGGCACTAAATCGATGGATATAACGTAAATGATGAGTTTCTGGCAGTTTCCATTTGAAACATTTAATACTTTGATTACAAGTATAAAATAATACTTTGCAAATCGTACCGATTTGACATCGTACGATTTGCAGAACATGCCTGATATACTGTAAATTTTTAATATTTTGGTACTCGCATTTTGCAAAGAAATAAAAAACTTGTAGCATGCCAAAATTCGGCTATTATGTATACCAACTCTTCTATTCGGACCCAATTTCTGAAAAGTTAAAAAGTTGATAACTGAATGGTCGAAAAATTAATAGATCGAACGTAACCCCAAACAGTAGTCATTATTTTGACATTTATTTTCCTCTGTTGCGAACAAAATGGCCAAAGTAGTGCTTATTTTCAATGTAGAAGTAAAAAAAAAAGATTAATCTCCTTTCTCGTTTTTTAGCACATAGCTCAAACAATGAATAAATTCGGACATAAACTCAAACTTTCACTTGTTTTGGGCATAGATATTCATATATTTCCGGCGGGATATCTAAGTAGGGCCTGTCTGTAATGAAGAAGCCAAAATTAGTATTTCCGGGCCTCGAAAATGTAAACATTTCGGCATAATACAAATCGTTATATTGACATCAATATTCGCGTATTTGCACATCCATCCTTTAATAAAATGGTCGCATAACTAGTAGATTTGGATATAAGCTCAATATCGGCATTTAGTATCATCTGTTGCATGCAAAGTGGCCTCTTTTCCGTGAGCTTGTACATTCTATCTTAGTATAAAACGACCACCAAATAAGTATATTCGGACATAACCTCAATTTATAAATCAATATTTTAATATTTATTTTCGTCGGTTTCAAGCATTACGCCTAAATAGGACTTTTTTTTTAATGTGGTGGCCGAAACATCAATGTAATTTATTAATTAGTAAGCTCGCACTTGAATTAAAAAAAAAATAATCGGATGCAAGCATAACCTCAAAATTTAAATTATTGTTTTGGCATTGATATCTATGTGGTGTTTGCAAGATATCTGAGTAAGAGATATTTTAATTGAAGAAGAGTGATCCCAAAAATCTTTTGACAAATGCGTACATTAGACCGTACTACCTTACAAGCAAATAAAAAAAAGTTCACCGTCTATATATAATATTTGTTTGCCGAATCTAGTGGTCGCCTTTTTAAATATTTCGGTGACACCTACATACGGCAATACAACTTTTTTTTTTAAATAGTTTAAATAGTATAGTCGACATACTTCCTTAGCAAAAGCTTAATGTTTTTTGGCGAGCTTTATTTTAACGAATCATTATGATGCCCTTGCATGTATGTGTTTAGGCGTTATATTGTTGTAAAACTTTTTTTTTATAAAACGTAATCTATCATTTTGTACTAATAATTGGGAAAATTAACCTAAAAAATATATGGTACAGTATTTACAAATACACACGTATCTAGTATGTGATCCAATATGAAACATCTACCACTCAAAAATTTTTCAACGTACAACTTGGATGCCAATGAATAATTAATTATACAAAAGTAAGGTCCTTTTTTGATGCATGTGGTTTCCCTTTGTTAGTTAATAATCCCTTGTGCGACTATACAACTCTTAAAGCACGCACATGCACGCCAACCCTTTTTCCCCAAAACGGCTAAGCCCAAAAATATAAAAAAAAAATGTATGCATACACACAAAATTTATAATCTTTATACTTCCAACAGTAAACACTCTCACAGAGTGACTTCGTTTTATTTTTTATTTTATTTATTTTTTGGTGTAGCTTCTTGGTATACCTTGGTGACTTCATGCTGTGATGGCGCGACACTGTCGGCCGTTGACTGCTCGCCAACGCCAATTGCTGCAATCCTGGCGGCTTTGGCGCGAAATTCGGTTTGCCATGATTCGGCACCGGTTTCACGCTTGGCGTCGGCGATTTATTAGCCGGTGACGATGATGACGGGATGGGCGTGGCAAGCGAATTGGTGCTACCCAACGACGCTGCCGTCGTACCGCCCGCACCTCCACTACTAACTCCATTCGCGCCAAATAAAGAGGATTTGTTCGGAAGGATGCTGCCACGGATAGGTGCGGGCGATTTTTGTTGTTGCTGCTGTTGGAATTGTGTCTTGGACAGTGTGCTGTTCAGGCTGCTTTTATAGTTTGAATTGTTTTTTGGAGTCGTTGTTGTGTTGTTGTTGATGATAGAATTATAAGAGGTTGTTGATTGCGTAGTTGTTATAGTTGATGTTGTTGTTGTTGTAGAAGAAGAGTTTGTATTAAACAGGCTACTTTTATTATTTACAAAATTTGAATTTGTTTTTCCTAACGATAAACTGTTAAAAATAAAAGAAAAATATGTATGTTTATGTAAAAAAAGCATAGGAAAAGAAAAAAAAAACATGAATAAGTAATGTATGTACAAAAGAAAGAAATGAAAAAGTAATATACATATGTATGAAAAAAGCGATAACAACACGTGTTTTCGACCGAGGAGAGAATTTTCGGCTAAGAACATTTCGAAAAGGAATATTTTGTTACGTTTAGGCTTTGATTGGGCTCAAAAAGATTAAAATGGGATTTTTGGGAAAAAGAGTTTACGGGCACAAATTTCAATAAAAAATATGTACAGTAGACGGCATCACTCCCCATACAAAAAAAAATCGGTACTGCGTTTCCATTGGAATTATAGAATCTATTATATTTTAAGACGTCCACCAAAATATTTCGGAAAAATATTAAGATCAATGTAAGCTGGAGCAATTTGAAAATACTTCCAAAAATAGTTTTTTATGAATAAAAATAGTTTCTTAAAGATTTTTTTTTGAAAAAAATTTCCTCAAATGACAGTTTAAGCTTAAAAAATTTGCTTAAAAATATTTAAAAAAAATTTTAACAAATTTTCAACGGAATTGATGCTGTTTTTTTCAACATTTTTCAAAGATTGGTATAAGAAAAACTAGAATAACTGAACCTAAACTATTCCGGTTTAGACTTGTGAGGTATAATTGGTAAGGTGTTTTCTCACACTTTTATATCTCTTTGCTAACTCATACAAAGGTTGAACGAAAAAGGTAGGATGAACGAGTTGAATTAAGATGTGTTGGTATTTGAAAAAAATATTGGGGCATGAATAACTTTTCTAGTGAGATCTCATAAGTCTAAATCAGAACAGTTTTGGCCCAGTTGTTCCAGTTTTTCGTAAATCAAATCCAATGATCGGATCTAAATCAAATTAGGATGGGAGGTGGTACCACCTTTCAGTACATACAGTCAATGAATAAAGTTTAGGTACAGCGAATTTTTTGCAATAGGTAGACTTTATTGATTGACTGTACATAAAAAAATTATTGATAACCTCCTGTTTTTGTGAAGTCGGTTAAAAAACAGTTGAAACAGGTTTCGAAAAACCGAGTCAATCGCCCTAATATATTTACAATAAAAACTTCTATCTAGCCCTTTTCGTGCGCTGTTGAAGGCAGACCATTTTACGTTCAGGTCGTAAGTAAGTTCGGTCTTTTACATATGTACCTATATATTAGGCTTGGGTAGCTCTTGAACTGAATGAACTAAAGAGCTAGTTCATCTCAATGAACTAGTATATGTATATCATAATAATTTGACGAATTATTAAAATATATTTTAGATATTTGCTTTGAACCACATAGTAGTAGTGGAAGTGAAAAATCTCTCGACAAGTTCTTAATGAAAAGATAATTGAGAACAAACAAACGGAGTTTGCAATAAAAATTAATAAAAAAAAAACTACAACACAATTGTAAATGAGTGGGCGATATAGACGCGCATAAAATATTAGTATAAAAAATTTAAATAATACTAAGCGGAAGGTGTTTTAGAAAGAAAAAGATTTCATCTTGAAAGAGCTTTGTAAGACTGCGAAAGTAAGATAAAAAGAAGTAGGAAATAAACTGCTAAACTGCGCGTGACATAAATATTGACAAGCAGGTGACTGAAATGATTGAGTGGATGTGTGTGCATACAAATTAAAGTATGATAAGTACGTAAGCGGATGTATACGTATGTATGTCTGTATGTACATGGAGTATGCAGTTAGTATATGTGGATATGTTGTTTATTTGGCGCTTGTAGTAGACGCGTGTTTGGTGCAACCGCCAAAAAAGCTAAGATAAGCCGCAGATTTGTATGCATGTAGATATATTTTACAAAGCCTTAGTGAAGCAGGTGAATATCGAACGGAGCGAAACCAAAGTAAAGATGCGCATACTTATAAAAATGAGCCTACATTTGTACATATGTATGCATGTATGTATGTATTTTGCTCACAAACAATATTTTATATGGAGACTAGAGTACACAAATATGTATGAAAGTATGTACTAGCATATAGGGACAGGCAAGAGTAAGAGTGCATAGATAACTACACATTTACTTCGCTAAACAATAATTATTGACATATTGAAGTAAAGTAAATATGTATAAAGTGGGGTGTAGAAATAAGTACACGATTATTTTTGTTAAATATTTGCAAGGTTTTTAATGGTAAAATTTGTTGTTATTTTTTTATAAAAGTATGGTTCATGCTTTAACCAAAACAATTTTAGAAAAATTTAACAAATTTTCATTAAAATCTGATTTTTAAGAATTTTTTGAGTATGCAGATTGGTAGCCCATTAAATTTTAGTATAATAAAGTGCAAGTTTTAGGCGGCTGCAAAATCGCGTTGATCTTTGAGAATTGAGAATCATATTAAAAAGTTAAAATTTTAAAGAAAATTTGCTAAATTTTTCTAAAACGGGTTTGGTTGAAGCATGAACCATATTTTTATGAAAAAATAAAAAACAATTTTACTTTAAAAACCTTGCAAATATTTAACCAAAACCACCGTGTACTCATTTCTGCTCTACACTGTATATGTACATACAAACATGAGTTTTTTTTTAAATATATGTATGTACTATATGTTGAACCTATGTTATAAGTAGTACAACAAATACATATGTACGTTTATATGTTTTAACAACACTTCACTTACTTCAAGCTTGCCGCTTTACTTTTGATACTTTGGCTGCTGCTGTTACTTGTGACAGCGATTTTATTGTGGCTGCCGCTGCCATTGCTACTCTCCGAAAGAGTAGGTGATGATGCTTTGCTATTGTTGTGATTCGACGCCAACGGGCTGGCGCGTATGCCCCCAGACGACGCGCTGGCATTTCGCGTTTTCTCCAACACCGAATCGGAGGCGCTCTAAGTGGATGCGGGGAAAATATGAAAACAAAAAAAAATATATATATATATTAATTCATGCCAAAGAAATCTGCAAATAAAGAGTTAATGATATATGTATATTTTTCAATAAACTATTCTATGATAAATCTCTATTAACAATGGCGTAGTGCCAATATAAGAAATACATACATGACTTGAGAGAAATTCAATGAGAAATTCTTACAACAGTACAGTAATGCTTAGCTAGTTCAGGCACCAGGGGCCGACCTTATCTTATAGATTTTTTTTGCTGATTTGAAGTGCATTTACAAAATTTTTCTAGGACGTCCACTTTTTGAGAAAAAAACTATTGAAGTGTGAAAAATGCTAGTATGAAAAATTTAAAAGTTGAATTTAGACGTAGTTTCTCCGAAGAAAAAAAAAACACTTATTCCAATTCGTCTGATGGATTCTGCCTCATACCGATGGATTGACTAGAAAGGGGTGAAAAATCGGGTAATCGCTAACAGAGCTGCGCGTACGTTTTATAGGAATATTTAATTGCTATGGTTGTGGTTATTGCTATGGTATGGCACTACTAATTTAAACTTAAGAATCCTCAGAATCGAAAAAATTATAAGATGAGGTTGGCCCCGTTTTTGAGATAAAATTCAACTAAATTTTGCCATACTATAACACCAGAGCCATAACCATAACCGTAGGTATCTATTTAATTTTAGTTTTTTCGCCAAAATCAAAAGCTGCTCTAAAGTATTTTGCTACGTTATGGCTAAGGCGTTATGGTTATGGCACCTCTAATTTGGCCTTTACTTAAGTTTTAAATTTTTCATTGTGTATCCTAAATTTCAGATTTTTTTTATAAAATTGATCAAGATTTTTTATGAAGTCAGTTTGATAATATGTACATATGTTGTTTATTCGAAAAAGCAAAGTAATTCAAACACTCTAAACTTCGTGATAACAGTTAAGAGGGGACTACAGGATTTTAATTTCTTGTTTAAAATAATTTTATACACTTTTCCCCAAGTAACTAAATAATTTATTTGTAAGCCTGGTGGGAGTTGCAGACGTGTATGAGACAAATAAAAGTATCCTATTAATGTTGTTGTTGTACAAGCAGCCGCCGACCCTACAATTGCTGTAATATTCTTTATTATTGGACTCGGTGTTGTTGTTGTAGCAGCATATCTACATATTCCCCAAATAATTTTTTTGGAGTGTTGCTGCAGTGACAGTCCTTGGCCAGATATAAGTCTTAAGCCAAAGAACCGTGCAGTATTTAAGGACACATATAATAAGGCTTCTAACGTTAGGATCGTCAAGATTTAGGGCTACACCCATTACAGGCATTTTACGCTTCGAGATGGACACGATCCGATATAAGTTGAGCAAGAGTTCACCCCGTTTGCGGAGGATTAAGCCGCAGAAATCTGGAAATACGTAGTATTGAAGTAACTATAAGACCGAGGAGGTAGTCAGTAAGTCTCCCAGGATGCAGGGTAGGGACCGCTATCATTGGATACCCCCGTTTAATCCTACCCGGTTTGACTGTGTGGAAAGCTTTCGAAAGGTCAACTGCGACAAACAAGGTCGACATTGATGCATACTTCCATAGGGCTGAAAGGACTATCAGGATTTTTTGAATATCCGGATAATACGGAATTAGAATATCTGATTAAAAAATCCGCATATAAATTAAAAGGACATTAATCGGATATCCGAATTTTTGAATCTAAAAATAACAATAAAATAATAATTGTATGTGTGTTAATGAAGTGTTCTATTATTTATTTATACTCAGTAATTTTGAGAGCAATTTTAAAAATCAGTCTTTATATTAACTGTATATCAGGATTTTATCCATATACAAGAATATTCGAATATACGGAAAGTCCAAGATATTGCCTTATCTTTGTGGTAAAAGCGTTAAGAGCGGATGTTGCAAAAACTGTCTTGGTCTACCAACAGCAGATGGTTATTCAGTCCTGAACTTCAATTATCTTTAGCACTAGAAATAGGAGGCAGATGGGCTTTTACTATTCTCTGGTTTTAGAAGAGGTATAATCCAACATGTTTTCTACATTTTCGGAATGAACCAGGTAGACAGCGAAATGTTAAACTCGGCAATGAGGTTATCGATTCCGAGTGCTCAGCATTTTTTAATTTCTGCATCTCGATGTCTGATGTCTAACGCCGTAGATCTCTTGCCTTTGTTGAAAAATACCTGAATCTGTGTGCTGATGTATTTGTTTACCAAAAAGGTGTTAGGTAGAGTAGGTCATTTAAACAAGCTTATAATGTATTTTAAAGAAAAATTTATCGCGAAATTTATGTGATGCCTGAACAAACATTTATTTATTTATGTATATGCAGTCAGGAGACTAAGAAAATTACTGTTTGAAATTTGGTGGAAGATTTACTTATATCTGAGAATAATCTAGGGGAATGTTGAGCCAAAAATGCTACGTACGGCCTTTCGTTATTTCGATATTTCGTATATTTAAATACCATACAGACTTTGAAACCCCTCTGCCCATCATCTAACGCAGATTTAATGCAAATTTTAGGCTATTATCATGCTTAATAAAGCTCACATTGATAATGATTTCGTAACATATTAAACATTTCCAATGTCAAAATTATTTATTTATGCAGATGCGGCATGGAAAACTACGTTGAAAAGCTACATGTGTACATATGTACATATGTATGTATGCAAATGCTAGTACAAATCTGCTAATAAATTCACCCACCCACACACATTTCGTAAATTTTCTTAGACTCGGCGCTACCATATGTAGATCTGCATATTTTAAGAATAAACATACGTATGTGCATACATTATGTAAATATGTATTAGGATGCTTCTTAAAATGTCAACATCAAAGTTTGTTTAAAACAAAAAAATGTTAAAAATTTTGGAAAATGTTAGAATTCGATGAAAATTTTACATACTTGTCATTGCAAAAATTTTAAAAATTCTTTTTGAGCCCTGGAAGTCCATATTAACTCTGCCCTATACATGCACTTCTTCGTAGTTTTCAAGACAATTATTTGTAATCCAGTGTTATTTAGATCTTAAGAAAAATTTGCCAAATGCTTAAACGAATGACAGTCTTTGAAGATTGATATTGCATGATGAAGAATAAGTGAGAGAGTTGATATGGAGTTCCTGTGCTCAAAGCGCATTTTTTTGATTTTTTCTATGGTAACAAATTATGTCAGAATTGTCAAATTTTAACATTTGTAGCGACCCTAAAAACTATTTTGAATTATGAAATTTTCGTAGATGTCTTTATGTTGAACGTAAAAATAAATGAAGGGGTATCTCATACAAAATTTAGATTTTGACATTTTAAGAAGCACCCTAATATGTATGTATGCAATTTATGCAAAAACGCAAATAAATACAGTCTGGAGCTAAGTTATATTTTTGTATGAAGATCGATGCAATCTGATTTTCAGACAAATCGTTTCATTTGGGTTTAAATGTCGCCAGATTAACGAGTAAAATTTCAACTATGGAGAAAATGTAGTTTCTTTCCTTGATTAAACTCCTCAATAAGGAAGGAAAAACATCACAGATCAATATGTAAGTAAAATTGATTTATAAGTACATATTTTGGTCTGTCTAAGAAAGGTGTAGAAGTAACTGAAGACGATCACCGCTCGCCGACAAAATAGTTCAAAAAGACAAAAAACCGATTTTGTAAGTTTGAAAATAAAAACAAAAGATATTGCAGAAATATTTAACGCATCTTCTGCGAACTTTTTGAACATTCTTCATGCTCATCATGTTATGTCTAAGACCAATGCAATGTATGTGCCACCGTAGCCGGGTAGTGGGAAGTGCATATAAATATCTACTTGGTAAGACTCAGATGTGGTGTCTGGTCAAGTTTATATACATATGTAATATATATATATATATAGTAGCTTAGAAATGTTCGATGGTATCAGGTAATTGGAAGTGACACTAATTCTAGACAGCATTGGCAGAAATGTGAAGTGCTTAAACATTTCCTATAAAAAAATGTTCGTAAATTCATTGGAAGCGTTGTTCTACCCTACACGTATTTTGAGTCCTCGCATATTTTAGATTGATAATTTATACAAAAGCCAGGTAAGTAGCGCTAATATTGAGAACTCGAAAAGAGCTCTGCTTTAATTTTTCGCCATATTTAGATTACCCTATATCAACGATTCTGGTAACATCACTTGATGTGGTCAAGTTAGCAAGTTCTTCCACTTTTAACAACGGTAACTGCAGAAAATACTAAATTCATCTATATTCGTCTTTGACAAGCTACACATTTTTTGCGCAACACTTTAATTTTTCCATGTGACTGCCATAGAATCAAATATGTATGTCTATGCATTGTAGACAAACAGCAAAGCACCAAAAATTTTGTTTGCAAATCTTTGCAAAATAAATCACAGATATGCAAATTTTACAATACTACAGCATCAAAATTCTTTTTGCATTGCGCAATTTTCACGCTACTTAATTGTTGGATTATTTTCCTGTGCTTTGTTACCATTCGTATACATATATTGTTTATTTTTTGCTTGCTCGATTTTTGTTTCACTCATTTTCTTATACTAGGTTCACATATAAGTAGATCATCCTCATTTTCGAGCTTAACACCCTAATCTGTAATTATAACAAGAGATTAGCCATATAAAATTCGTCCCTTGTTAATCTGTAATTATAAAATAATCTCAGATTTAACCGATAACTTTTCGGTGTCCATCCTAGTTTTATCGATTGTTTTTTGCGAAAGAGAGGAGAAATGCCAAATGTAAAAGTAAACAAAAATGTACGCTAGCAAGTAAAAGAGGTTTGTAAAGGTGTTTTTAATAAAATGTTAAGTTAAAATATATTTATATTGCTTATTATAGCAGAAAAACGTTATCACGGTGGCACAGAGAAGAAACATAACTTTTCCTTGAAATGTGAAAATAACAAGCACAACAAATTTGACGGCTAATAATCTGAGATTTGCCTGTGTAAACGGGGTGATTAAGAAACGAGCTTTGATTGATATAATATTGATATGTGAACATAGTTTTAGTCTCATGCCATAATTAGGTTGTATATTATCTTTACCGTTGAAAGATTTTTCGGTGGCGTCGATGGTGGCTGCGGCGGTGGTCCACGATTTGTGCGTAAATTCGCCTCGGTTGCATTGATCGGCGGTTGTTGTTGCTGCTGCTGCTTCTGTCGCTTCAGTGTTAAATGCTTAGTTAATTCGGCATTGAAATCTAATGGACCATTACTGCTGCTGCCGCCACCGGCGGTGCTTGCATTCGCAGGTGGTGATGTGTCGTTGCGTCTATTCGCTGCCGACGAGTCATTGGACGCCGTTGGGACTGCTGGTGCTTGTGCTAAATGCCATGCAGAAATTAAAAGAAAAGAAAATAAAATAAAATGAAACAATAGTTAGTAAAAGTCACACAATGCAATAGAGGCGTTGTTTGTAGCCTGCGCTACTCACCACGACTACTGCCATTGACTGGCTTCAGTTTGGGCATTGAGGTCAGCCCTTCGAATAGGCCACCCAGTTTTGGTGCGCCATTGCCCACATTGTTGTTATTGCTATTGCTGATGTTGTTGTTATTGTTGTGTATTCGTTTCGGTGAACTCGTTGCGGATGACGTTGAATCGCAAATCTGTGCGTTATCGGGGAAAAAATAACAAAAAATTGTCTTTATTTACTTACACATAGTATGTATGTAGAAGTACAAATAATTAAAAGCTATAAAATTTAAAGGCGCACAAAAACAAACTAAAAATATATGTATGTATATATGAGCAATATTAGCACATGAGACACACCTTTCCTGCTAGGGCTGGTCCGCTTTTATCAACCGTTGTAGTCTTTTTCAGTTTAGTGCCCTTTTGTATGGACTGTAGGAGCGCTGAACGCACATCTCCACCACCGGCACCACCTAACTTCAGGCCTCCCATTGCCGGAGGCGGTGGTGGACCTGGTGGCGGCGGTGGGCCGGGCGGTGGTGGAATAGCCATCTGCAAGAAAAGAGAGAGTTGTATTTGAGTACATAATTTTGATTAGATAAAATTAAAAAATACGAAAGTAAATGAAGAATAGGTTTTATAAATATTTATCGCATCAGTCCTAGTTATTCTGAACGTTACTGAACATTTTGTAACCAAAATTTTGAATAACAAAAATTCGTGTGTTAACTTTATTTGCTGGCTACAACATTTTTGTTACCAGCACAGAATATATCGTCGGTGCATACTAAGCAAGACACGCGACTGTTTTGACGGCGAATAAGGACGTGCAAAAAATAAGACCAAGAAAGACGCGTAAACCTATATGACGGCGAAGAAAAACACGCGATAAAAGTAGACGCGTCTTTTTCTCATCAACAAATAGGTTTTTGCGTCTTTCTTCGCCGAAGTTTTTTTAAATGCCTGTTTCGCAGTCAACTTTGAGCTGGAGTCTTTTTTCGCAAAATTTCTTATTCTTCAGATAAGCTATGTTCAGCACCCATCATATCCCCAGTGACACAGTAAAATAAATATGTAAATACAATATCAGTCATGTCAAAGTGATAATGGGGCTTATGACTAAACAATTGCTTTTTCTTGAAATTTCAGACCTTTTACTCGATTTATTAAAACAAATTTGAGTAGAAGGTTTTAAATTTTAAGAAAAAGCAATTGCTTATGTTTATTTATTTATTTTTAAGAATTTTCAATTAAAACACAGTTCATTCTCTAACTAAACGCAAGTTTAAAACTTTGAAGAAAACTAAAAAAAAAAATGCAAAAAGTTTTCATCAAAATTTCAAACTTTTTTCTCGGAAGTGTTAGCATTTTTTTGAGTATACAGTTTTATAGCCCATTCACAGTGCATAGTTAACTAAAATTAGGATGAACATTTTTTGCATTTTTTTTTTTAATTTCTACAAAGCTTTAAAATGGGGTTTATATGGGTTTTGTTCAAAGACCGAGAACGCGTTTAAATTTTGGATTAGTTTTGCACGAGCACAAAATGTAATGTCAAGAACGTTCCCACAAAGGGCCAAATGGGAGCAAAAGTATTGAGAGCAGTTTAAACGGGAACAAAATGCGAACAAAACTCTCGGGAACGTTCTCAAGAAGAACATAATGAGAACGAAACTTTCGGGAACGTATCCAATGAGAACAAAATAAAAAACGAAAATATCGAGAACGAGGAGGATCAAATAAGAACAAAAGTATTGGGAAAGTTCTGCTAGAGCACAAAAGGAAGGAAAAGGAAAAGGTTTTGAGAACACAACGTTAAGAATCTCGTTTCACTGAGAACCACGATTGTTAATTTTAAGCTAGAGGAAAGCTGCATAAGTTCAACTTCCATGTCGTTTATCACTAGGGTGAACTTTCCATTTATGGAACGATTTTTCATTTTCTGGGCAAGAAAATTTCGTGTCTTAAGTCTTTCGTTGACTTTATTTGCATAATTATCATTCAGCTCTTTTTTTTTTGTAAAATTTATATATTCATGAGACAAATTTTGTTCTCAGTTCCATTCTTCGCGAATAGTTCAGAGAAGATTTGGTCCCCATTCGTTCTTTGTCAAAAATGCTTGTGACTTTAGCTTCCAAATTATTCTACGAGAGAAAGTTTCTTAGGTTTTGTTCCCGTTATGTTATTTGCCTAAACGTTCCGGAGACTTTCGTTCCCATTTTGTTCTCTTAGAAATGTTACCGAAAATATATTATATTCTATTATTCTCTTTGTGAACGTTTCACAGGGTTATGTTCTTATATAATTTCCATTGAGAACGTTCTCGACAGTTTTGTTCTCATTTAGGTTTTGGTTTTGAAGCATTCTTGTGAAAAAAACTACGAGAGCAATACTTAGTTTCAATAATACCTTTTATTCTCGGCCCCTGGTAATTACAATAGAAATTCTTTGTTATGGAATTCGAAAAAAAATGCATTTGAAATTACTTCTAAGGCATTGAAAAAGTAATAAGTTCCTTTGCTGTGGACTGAAGGAATTGATTCCTAATTACAATTACTGAGAAATGTAGTCGTAATATAATTGCATTTACCCAGCTCTGGCTATACGTTATTGTAAGACTTCATTTCCTACCAGGACTGCCTAAACATTTGATGTTGTATACATCTTGAGCATCTTTGAAGCCACTTCTTACTCCAACATTACGTACAAAACGACTCCAATAATTTTGAAAACTACATATAACAAAGTTAGAGGGTCATTCGCGCTTGCTTTGCTCTTATCAAAATGGTTGTAATCTCTTTTTAAGATAAACAGATTTTCTAAGTAAAAGTAATAAAGAAATATTTTAAGTGATATATGTAATTAAAAAGCATTTATAAAATTAATAATATTACTACAAAATTAAACCATGATCTCATCATCTTACAATGGGCTATCAAAGCAGCGTAAAATAAGCCAAGACGCAATATAGTTGAAGATACAATTGAGGAATTCTACAAATGTCAAAACGGTCATCAAGTTTAAAGCAGCTAATATGGCTTCGGGTTGCTGTGAAGCACCCTAAAATGTTTTTATAAATATCATAAAATGTATCATAATAAATATGATTAGTCATCAGGAACCGCAAATAATGGCGAAAAGTTTCAACTCAAAACAATAAAAAAATGCTGAAAGAGAAATTTTGCGTGCATAGGGTACAAAGCAACATAAAATAATCGTTATTTTTAAGTTTTATTTTTTGCTTAGAAAATAAAACTTACGTTTTTGATATTTTTTGTTATGCAAAGGCTTAAGATAAAAATAGAGATTAATTAATCTATTAATATTACGGCAATGGTATTGGGTAAGGTAGTTGTAATGGTAATGTTAAAGGTAATAGTAATGATAATTGCAATGGTAAAGGTAATGATAATGTTAATTTTCAACTTCGAATTGGCGTTCGCATTTGAATTCATGTTCGTTTTCGTTTTTGTAATCGCTTCCGTCTTTCGTATTTGTTTCGGTCTTCGTATTCCTCTCCGTATTCGTTTTCTTATCATACGTTTTACGACTTCTTTGACATATTCGTACTCGTCTTCGTGTTCGTATTCGTGATCGCTTTGGTATGCATGTTCCCTTTTGAGTTTGTTTTTGTATCCATCTTCGTATTCGTCTCCGGCTTCGCAGTCTCATCATTCGCCTTTGCATTTGGATTTGGCGGAGAACCGCACTCATACTACATGCTGTGCATTGTACTGTTTTCGTGTTCCCTTTTAACATTTTTTAAATCTACGATTTACGAATAAACCGGAGAAGATTTTTGGGTGTTAAAGAGCTCATCGCTGCCAAAAACCTCATACCAGATACTTGCAAAGGCGGGCAGAAGCACCAAAAGTGTTCCGCTGTCTCATCGCCTTCAAGGCAGAAAGGGCAAATGGGATTGCAATGTATGCCCATCACAGTCAGGTGTTTATGCCAGAGAAGTGACCAGTCAACAGTTCCATAAGTTGTCTGCAGTCCCATCTGCAAAATGAAAGCATATATCTATCTAGCCAGACCATCTGAGGTTGAGGACAAAATGAGTTTTGCTCACCTTTGGCCATTGAAGCTACCGTTAACAACTGGGTGAATATTTCGCACTGGGTGAGTGGGTGGCTTGGAGGAGCCGCAGTGCTCTAATTTTTTGCGGACCGAAAAATACCTGGTTTCTCTGGCCACGACCACGGCGGTGTCACACGATTGGTACATTTGTCATTTTTTTATATTGGGCTATTGGTAAAAAATAAAAACTGGGACGACAATTTTCTTTTGTGGTCATACGATTGGTGCTATACGGCGAACGTCTATTGAACGACTTGAACAAATTCTTTTTCGTGATTGGGATAAAGAAAAATATTTATGCATTCACGATTGGGACATGATTTGCACCAAATATTGGACAAATGCCCAATCATGTAAAACTGCCTTAAGCAAAACATAAAACTCAAATAATAACTTTTATTTTCTGAGCAAAACACACAAGCACACAAAACTAAAAAATGATTACAACCATTAAAAAGTATTTTTTTATAAAAGTTATAACCGTTACAGGATTCGAATTTGGCATGCAAATTATCCCATTAGTTCTAGCATTCAAAAGATTTTCAATTTAATGTGTCAAAAAGCACTTTTTTTGCGTTTTTTTTTATATTTTGAATTTAATGTGTCAAAAAGAACTTTTTTTTGCATTTTTCAAACATTTATTGTAGAAAAAAAATCGGAATACAACCTTTCGAATAAGGTAAAAAGAAAGCCCTTAACCTAAAGTTGAGGCCCTCACCACACTTACGCACTCAGTTTCCGTTGAACGCTTTGGCATCAGTTCAACGGCTATTTTACGAGTGTCTTTTATTTAAAATTCCTCTGCAGAACTAATTTCCGTAAATTTGAAATCGTTGAAATTCATTGATCATCTGTAAGTCGTACTATTGTAAAAAGAGAAATTGCTTGGCTGCTTAAAACCATGCGAAACTTTCTGCAACGTACCATCAATCCAAGCATTCTGAGTAGTTGTCATAGCGATACTATTGAAACCGATTTATATGTTACACCTCTAAATTCTGCAGTGTAAAAAACTAGTTAGTCATAAAGTTCTATTATAGCGAGGAATATGCGCCTGAATAGATTTGTTGACACATTTAATTGCTTATTTGCATTAGTGCAGCAATAAAAAATTACCAACTTTAGCTGGAGTAGAGAACGAAGTTAGGCGCTAATTATGAGGGGTATGAAAATGAAATAACAGAACTACCAAAACAAAAGAGGTAACAAATTTCTATGACCGTAAATGGAGCGCAATGTAATAGAAATTTCCGGTAAAACTATGCATGGAAAAAAGTGTGAATGCAAAATTTTTAAAGAACGTTTAGTAGCTAAGTAACCTCGATTTCCGGGTGACATAAGAGCTTAGCATTTGACTCTTCCTTACCATTTTATTTTTGTCAAGCAAAAAAGGAAGTAATAAGCAAATAATAGAACTTTTTTATTCTTATTTTTATCTTTTTTTTATTTTGCATGAAAAGTTAATTCTTATGCGCTGCGCAAAAAAGAATTGAGCAGCTGAAAAAGGCACTTGAACCTGAAAAAAATGTTACGCGCAGCCGCAAAACGCGGTTTGCATACCAAATCACCGTGTAAATAGAATCGACGAATGAGCGAACGAACGAACTTGTGATTTATTTGCTTGAGTAACAAAATCAGAAGACAATAAATATGAGCGGACAACCGTAGGTCGTATGGATCGTATAAACAGCAAGCGGCAAGCAGCAACACCAACAACATTAACTATTAAATGACAATGACAAGTCGTAAATAGCAAAAAAACAAAAAAATTAAATAAAAACTTTACAAAATACCCACACGCGCGCACCGCATATAAGATTCATTTAGTTTTATAAGGTATTAAATGAGTCATCAATGAATCAAAGATCCAAATAAATAGAAAGAGAGCGAGAGGAATGATTAAGAAAACTTACAAGCCACTTTTAAAACGGGATTTGAAAAATAAATTGCAAATTGTAGCTGCAAAAATGCAAGCATGACTAAGCCAAGCTACGCGATGCGTTTGTCAAATGTGATCGATATTCAAAGTCGATTATTTTTAATGCATAAATTATTTACCTTTCTATTGGACGCTTGTTGACAGTTGCACTTTTATTTATATGTATTTTGCTTCGATCTAAATAACAATGACTAATTGTGCAGATCTTGTTTTTTTTTATTCGATTTCTTTGAACTAGCAAGCAAAGTACAGAGATTTCTGCAGCTGTTAAGTTTAAATTCCAGCCAAGATTTTGTTTACATACACACGAGACACTTATAAACAAAGACGCCGTAGGTACAAATCTCGCGTATAATCACAGGTGAGTCAGCAGCTCTTGGCGAATATTTCTTCAGAAACTTTTTTCCAATAAAAAAGTGCGAAAAGACGCGTCGAGCTATTACTTTACATTTCTTTTGTGGAAATTATTTCATGGCACCACACGCAAAGTGAAGATCAGCAGCAGCCAAACGCTGGTATTTTTAAGGCACAGTCTTTATTTTTATTTCCAATAAAAAATTAAATTTTTACTTGTTTGGCACGCTGCCCCGAAAAAATCGCGGCCAACATTTATATCAGTTTTTTTTTATTAAATTATTTGCTACACTCTGCTTTAGCATTAGCAAATAAAAACTTTTAAACGCACCACACGCAATGCACGCACGCGTATTTACACATCACCGCTCGCGTTCAACGCGCAAATGGAAACAAAATAGCTTCGAAAAATGGAACGGCCACAACACTCGCCGGCCGACTGCTTTGCTGCGATTAGCGCACTGGAAGACTACATCAAAGCCATCACCATCACCAGCAGTGTCAGCGTCAGCGCGCGATGACGAAGAAGCTAACAAGCCGAGTACGCTAGCAAGGTAGCTAAGCTAGTGAAATCAGCAAAAGCAAGGCATGCGGGCAAGGCAGCAAAGCGCACTGTTCCGACGACGCTGCGGGAGCAATGAGACTACAAATGTATTTACGTGAAAGATATGTATGTAAGAACATTTACACAAAAATACCAGCTAAATGCCCAACCAGCCTCAGACTAAAGTGACTTAAACGTTATTGCCTATGCTACTCTACTCTTCCCGATGCTATCTGAGCTGATACTTACAAATGTCTGAATGTGAAGCTCCTGCAGGCGGCGCGTGCCCACATTGATTCGTTGCCGACGAGTTTGCCTCCGGCTGAGTGTGAGATTTTCAAGAAAATGACGTCACCGACATTGCTGATTGTAAAAATGCTCGTGAATTATATTCTTGCACACTCTCATAGCTAATTGATAAGCTCTGCTTATATAGCGACAGATTTAAATCTGTTAAACGCGTAAAAGAAAAAAAAACAAGAGTCTAGAATCCAGACTGCAAGTATGTAGATCGAGGATAGACTCTGATTGATGATTCAACGCCAGCAAATGTGTGGCAATTTAAAGTTGAATTTAACAAAATAAATTACACGAATGAATTGTTCTAATGCTTAGTAGTTAACCCTTAGTGGGTGATGTGATATATAGGAACCATAGTTGTTATCTTTAGCGCTTTGGCAACCCGGGCCAGAATCCAGGCATTAGTGATCGAAGGATTAGTTGTTTCGAATCGAATGACTGAAATTTACAGTTGCTTTCTCTCTAAGACAATTTTAATTGACAAAGCGGAGCCAAATCTTGGAAAGTCCCGCGAAGGGAGTATTAATTTAACAGTTACCAGCTCTGATATGTAAATCCAGGGACCGTAATTGTTATGATCTTTATTCTAGTTTTCCTATCTAATTTAACCGTTATTTTATGATTTTTATTTATTTCGATCAAGAACCATCGTAATCTATTTTTTTATTTTTATTTTTCGATCATACAATAACCGTTATTTTCGGATTATATTTTTTAGAACATAAAAGATTTAAAACGGTCTTAAAAATGCAATCTCCATCATAACTGTTAAAAAAAAATCGAAAAATAAATAAAAATCCAAAATGACGAGTACTATTTTTCATCGAAAAAATAAAACTTTCAAAATAACTATTAAATTTGACCGAAAAAATGGTAATCCAAATTTGACGATTATTCTTGATAAAAAATAACGAGTTTGCAATTATGTATCTAACAGCAACCTTTATTATCTTTGATTTTTTTTTCGATGAATTTTTTATCGTTATTTTTAATTTTTATTTTTTGATGATATAAAAGTTATTTTCAGATTTACTTTTTTAGATCATAAAAGATTTTAAATGGTCATGAAAACACAATCTCCATCATAACTGCTAGAAACTATAGAAAAAAATAAAAAATCCAAATTTACCAAGTATTCTTGTAAAACAAAAAGTACTCTGCAATTATGTAAAAACCGTTACAACGCTGACGAATTTTTCTCTCCATTGATCGTTTAAACGATGGAAAAAAAATAGACTACGAAAATCAGTCTTGTCAATTTGGAAGAAAATTAACTTCTCATATGAGTTTGTAAATGGTACAACCTAAAGTAAAAAAATATCTGATTTTGAGATAAATTTCGAAATTTTGGCTTTCAGTCTTGGAAGTTAGATTTATTTACTCCGACTTACTGCTTAGAAATAATACACTCAAATTCTTAAGTTTATTCTCGTTTCATTCGGTATCGATTACCGTGGAATGAGCCCGTTATATATTTTTTTTTATTTTTTCTCTCAAGAGTAATCGTTATTTTTTTAAATATTTAGGGACAATTTCTGATTTTTTTTTTCGACCACACTATGTATAACCGTTATATTCAGATTTAACGCTTTAGATCATAAAATTTTTAAAATACCATATATTTTATTTTTAATAAAAAATAAAAATCCAAATTTAATGATTATTCTTGATCAAAAAATTAAAAATCATTAATTGTGATTTTGCAATTATCTAATTAAAACAATCGATAGACTCCATGTTGCCGTGGTCCGATTGCGTGTTCGTCTCGGGGAGGAGAAGGTTCAAAGAGAGTTGCCACCTGCTTAAAAAGTTAAATTAAATCAAATTAATCGGATTCATCAAATACCGCAATACGGCTTTCAAATCGCAAAGGGCTAAGCAGAGCTCATTTAAAGCAAATATTTTTTTAAGAAGGTTGTCCCCTGTTTGAAAATTTAAATTCCATTGACTTGATTAGATGAAAGAAATATTACAATGTGTTTGTCAAGTGAAAGAGATTTAAAACAGCTCACTTCGCAAAATATTTTAAAGCAGGTTGCGACCTGTTTGAGTAATTAAATTCGATCACATCATATATATGGGGAATTCCATACCAAAATGGACGGAGTTCACACTTCATGTGTTTGATTTGTTTCAAATTTTTAGGGTTGATGAATAAACATAAATAATAAATAAATATGAAATTTGAGCTTGACTAATAAATTTTTATAAACTTTACAGCACAAAAACAAAAACCAATCGATTTAATAGTTTTTCAAATATCTCGAGAACAGGGCGAGAAAAAAATTAAAAAAAAAATCACACATACGCACATCAAAATATTTTTTATTTTTATTTTTTTCTTGAACAATTTTTCACACACAAATTTTTTGATAATAAAATTAGTTTTTGAAAATACGCCGTCTCAAAAAAAAGTTTAATGTAATCATAATGGTAGCTCTGAGTATTGCGCAATATTTAAGTATAGTATTATGCGGTGCACTCTACAATAATTTGAGTTATGAATTTTTCGTTCCTATCGGCGAGTAGAAGGTTTATATCTACGTTAAAATAACAAAAGAGTTGCCATCTGTAAAAAATCAAACTCAGCTTATATCCAGGTTAAAACAACAAAAGAGTTGCCATCTGTAAAAAATCAAACTCAGCTAAGTTAAACGAATTACTACAATATGGGTATCAATCGAAATGTTTTGGAGAAGACTAATTTCTAAACTGCACGTAGGAGGGTTGCCACCTGTCTACAAAACTAAATCCAACTTGAATTAAAGGAATTGGGTAATTGAATTATGTATCAAAACATGGTTGTCAGATGAAATAGGCTAAAAAAGGTTGCAAATTGAAAACATTTTGAAAAGGGTTGCCACCTGTTTAAACATTAAAATGCATTAATATGTTATGGCTATCACTCGAAAAGACTTTGAAAAGGTATAATTACTAAAATACATTTACTGGCTTGCCACTTGTTTAAAAAGTAAAATTCAAGTTCAATTATAGGATTTAGGTAATTAGAATATGTATCACAATTGAGTGTCGAGACGAAAGAGGTTTAAATAGGTTATATTTTGAAAATATTTTGAAGAAGTTGCCACCTATTTAAAAAGTCGAAGTTATTTAATTATACACAAGTTAAATGAAATATGTATTAAAATATGGGGCTACCCGGCAGACGCTTTAGTGTAGCCTATGTAGACAGAAACTTCAATTTCGCTAAAAATCAATTTTGGAGTGACGCAAAAGAGGGCTCCTGAGAAATTGATAAAATACAAAAAAGCGTTGTTTGAATTTGAATGACGCGTATTCTGTGGAGAACTTGCCTTTTTGACTCATTCAAGTCGCTTTTGTTGGTCGCAAAAAATATGATTCAATTCCGCCTTGACACTTTTTTCCACGTAAATCTGCTAAAAGCCAAAATTTTTATTATATTATTTGCATATACATACATAGTAAAGGAGATAGAGACGCATTGACAACCAAGCAACAAAGTTACAACTAACAAAGAATAAATGTAGATAATTTTCTTAAGTTTGCTTTGACAAATACAGCTGCAGGCAAACCGAGTTTTAATGAGTACTTGCATTTATCACCAATGAGTAATTGCATACATATGGCGCAAATGTGTGACTTGAATGCGAATTGAGATTAAAATGCAGATACCTTAGGAGTTGCTTTTTTAATTTTGCTTTTTAGGTTTTCAAAAATTTTTCGTCAGCTGAACTAAAAATTCTAAGGTTAAAAGTTCTAGGCTATCGAGATATCGTTGTCGATGTTGGAGGGCGCAAAAGTAAAAGTTTCTATACATCTAAATAAAACAAGCTCCTTTGGCATTAAAAGCGCTTGTCCTCTCAACGAAAATCTTCAATCAGATGCTTAAAGATTTTATAAGATTTGGGCACCTATTTTTTGATTTGCTCCAACTTTGGCTATTGACTGAAGCCGGCGATACTTACAGTCCGCGTCAAATGTTAGTGTACATTTTGTTCTAATTTAAATAATATTCACAATTATTTTCATGAAAAATAATTTTCATGAACAATTTTTTTCGTTAATTACCTATTTATAAAAATTAAGTTCATACTATAAACTGTATATATAAATCAAAGTTCCACACTTTATATAAAGTTCACAATAATTCAAAAAAATGGTATCAAAATTTCGAAATTTTTATTCAGAATTTCTAGAAAATTTTCGGAGGATGCAGTTTTGTAGCCCGTTCAGTTTTAGTCGAATTTAGAATTTTTTTTTTGTGGAGGTATGCATTGGGTGTTGCGCATTTTCTGCCATATAGAAATAGATTTTGATCATGCGTTATAAGAAAGAAAAGACGCAACCCCTGCACAAAAAAATCTAAAAAATCAACGGTTATCTTTAGCGACTTCAAGCTAGCATTTTGTTTTACTAAAATTGAACGGGCTACAAAACTGCATGGTCGAAAATTTTCTAGAAATTCTGAATAAAAATTTGGAAACTTTGATGAAAATTTGTTGAATTTGTATTGCTTTTATATAAAGTGTGAAACTTTGATTTATACGGTTTATGTTATGGAATAAACTATATTTTCAAAAGTAGTAGTTAATGAAAAAAACTTTTCATTAAAATAATTTCGAATATTATATTAGAACAAGGTGTACACTAACATCTGACACTGACTGTATGTAAGTGAAACCTTTTTGGATAAAAAAGAAATATGAGAGCGATGGGTATGGCACAAAACCTAGACAAAAAACGAATATATTTGAAAATCACTAGATGATGAGGAGGCGAGCGTTAAATTCTATTTCACAT